AGGAAAGTTAAAGGTTCAAAGGGTCCCAGTCACAGACAGGGACATCAGTGCAGTTCAGTGGGAGGGTCCCAGGCCAGCAGCAGTCGTGTTCTTCAGAGTCCACCTGCTTATTCCACACACTCATATCTTCACTAGGACCCTGTCCAGTGTTTTGTAACTGTCCTCCGTCTCACTCACCACACACAAACTCTAGATCAGGGACATGGGCTGTTTTGATTGAGGGAGCTCTCACAGAATCAGAACAGCTATGTTGATTGGGGAACAAATCAAATAAACATGTCAAGGAAGGATTTATCCAAAATACCATAAATGCAGCAAATAAGGACGAGGTTGGCTTGGTGGGGGGAGCTGCAGCAACAAGCAGTGCTGGCATGAAGTCATCAGCAGAGTAAGTGTCCTGTTGGCAGACTCAATCTGATTGGACATTACTTGTTAACTGGAAGCTGAGTTGCTGGTAGCTACACATGAATGAAGCAGCTGAAGCTTGACTCCAGTGACTGAGTTTACACGGTCTCCACAGGTTCTTCATTTCTAAATCATTCATCGTTTCCTCTTGTGAAACATTGTGCGTCTCTGGTGGATTGTTATCAATTCTTATTGCCCTTGTGTGTTTGTGTGTCTTCACCTGTCGACCTGCAGGTTCAGTGTTGATGGGAGCAACATGCAGTGAGCCCTGCACCAACGACTCCTTATCAGATATAGTGAGTTCATTCTTTTAATTACAATATAATAATATGTATTGACTTAAAATATGAGAACAATGTTGACAGTATGAGAACCCTTGAACCACCTGAATTTGCTTTGTTAAGATTTATATTATATTCATAAAATATAATGATATAATAATCTATTAATATGAATATTGGATTTGTATTAACTTTCCTCTTTTCACTCTTACCGCTTTCATGATGCCACACTAGCCCTTTCCGAAAATGTTTAAAACCACACTTTCCACGACACCTGCTCAGCAGCACACAGACACAGTCAAAGACCAGCTGCTGAACACAGTGGCGCATTGACCAAACCAGGATCAACCGTAATCTAGCAATTGCATTTACATGCACGTATCTATACACATGCACAGTACTCTCTGTGAGCACCACTCGGAAATTCTGCTCCATGTTGAGCTGCACATTCATTCACGGTTCTGGTGACCGGACACCCGGCTCACGGGCATGTTACTGAAAAAAAAAACACTTGACGACAATGACAACATTATGTTTTGTCCTTTCTCGTGTCCTCGTCAAGTAAAAAACAAGATGTTATGTCACAGTTGTAATCAATAAAGCTTTTTCGGGAGCATCTATTCAGTGTGCGTCACAGCGGTTTCTGTCTCACAGTGTGCCGCTCTTCTCCTCCCTCAGGCTGTGGGTTTGGGGCTGGACTATGTCAAACTGGGAGGTCTGAGCGGTGCTGAGAGGATGACTAAATACAACCGGCTGGGTTGTATAGAGGAAGAACTGGCCCAACAAGGAATCCTGGGTGGGTTTTTTATGCTCCTCCCTCATCTTTCTTTTTCATAGCTGGACAGAGAAAAAGGAGACCAGACAAAGAGAGAGAGAGGTAGTAATGCCTGCGCTCGAGAACACACATCTCTCTCTCTCTGTCTGTGTGTACGAATGTGCATTTGTGTGTGTGTGTGTGTGTGTGTGTGTGTGTGTGTGTGTGTGTGAGAATGAAAAGCCCTACCTCGGATCTGTTAATTGGCTGCCTAATTACACACAGGGACAAATACTTTCCCATCCATCGTTTCCGAATGATAGATGCAGGCAGGAGCAGCGGCGAGTTAACGAGAGATGACTACACGTGTGTGTCCAGCTCCGATCAAAAAACCAACTTTATGTTACATGTTCGCTGCTGTTTATTGTTTGTGTTCCAATGATGTGCTGAAGCCCGGAGTGGACCGAGGTGCAGCGATAGACTCAGTGTGCTTCAGCTGCAGCAGCGGGGACATGATTTCAGTCCTGTTATGTGAAAGCGTCTGTGTTCCGTCTTTTGTCCTTTCACTTCATTTCATTATTTTGTCTCGTCAGTCTCCAAGGAGAAGCACTCCCCTCCGCTGTTTGCTGGAAAACTACAGAAGGAGTCCACTGCTGCGGACAGAGCGCTGTCAGATGAGGCCTGAGGCAACACAGCTTGAAAGAAAACACGACTGATTCAGAAGCTGTATTAAACCCACCACGTTATATTTATCTTTCATCACTCAGTTCTGCTCTTATCACTTATGCAGAGGTCAGGATTACACTTATAGAACCTGCTGGGTTGATTATAAACATGATTAAGTGCATCAGTTATAGTGTTGCCATTCTCTTTAAATTAAATTGAAGCTATTCAGAGACAGACTGAGAGGGCAAACGCGACCTTCAACAAAGCGGTTTTTAAAATCCCTAAACATCTCGTCGCCACTTCAGATATGAGCCACGTTACCAGCGACTGTAGGCTGCAGCTCCTTCCACAAACAGGTCTGCTTTCAGGTCATACGCAACCATCTCCATAAAAAAATCCAAATATAGCAGCACTCAGCAGCCACAACACACACAAGCCTGCTCTATTCACTACAATAGAGACAGGAGAGATCCACTGATTGAGCTCATTATTCCATTCCACCACTTTCATTTGGAGCATGTTTTTTTAATGAATAATGTTTGTGTCTTTTCATAAAATACATGTTTCTAAAAACGTTCATTTTGTATTACTTTAAAAGAGACTGCATATTTTTTGTATATCTGGAACATTTAATCTGAGTAAGCGTTCAGCGCTGTCATCTGAATCAGACCCAGAAGTCCACTTATGTCTGTATATATCAGTAATCTGTAATTAGGTCAAGCGGAGTGATTCTTAACGTTTCAGATGGTTTTATTTAAGTTGAAATGCTCACCTCAAATCACAAGAAAAGAAAATAGTTTTCGATGTGTTTAGGGCCTTTTCTGATTTCCTCTTCTGTTAAAGGTGTCACTGTCCCTTTGTGGGGAGGGTCCCGAGTCCTGACCCTGTGTTGGGACCTACGATCTAGATTACAATGTGACATGAAATCACTCCACTGAAATTCAGATGAATTAAATCGTTTTTTAAGCTCCAGGAGTCAGGGTCACCCCCACATGCTCATTCAATCATGACTTAAGTGAGTCACAACATTCAAATAGTTCTAGATTCACTTCTTTCATTTGGCTTGTGGAGGTTTAACTGAACACACACACACACACACACACACACACACTCATTGCCTTGTGGAGGGAACGATTCTGTCAGTGTGTAAACACAGCAGAGGAGCTACGTCTCTGCACGGACAAAAAAAATGCATGTAGGAGCTTCTCGAGTGCTCTGCGTTCAGGCCGCACTACATGTGTATCAATGCGTCGGTCGAGTGAGTTATCCTCGACGTTCACGTTTAACAGACAATGGACAGAATCGCACTGACGCGTGCTCCTGCTCTCTATACAACAGTCCTGCTGAACTTGTTTAGGCTGCAAGTGAAAATAGAAACTGAGGATGTCAAGAAAGGTTTTGTTTGGTAAACAAACGGGCTTCTTCACATCTTATATTTGTATTATGTCTAGATAATTCAATTGCTTCGTCTTCTATAATTTGATGAAAAATGTAATTAAATTACAAATGTTCTCAAATTGTTTTTTCACCGAATTGGTTTCTTGATTCGCCCGCACTGCTGTACAAGTGTGCGAGTGAAGACAACCTCTAATCAATGAAACGTGCAGTTACAGACTGAGGCCGGGCGTCTCGACGGAGGATCCCTGGCAAGGCAATTACTGTGTTTGGGAAAATAAATGAAATGACTAACAAAATAGGTCAAATTAAGTGTTTCCCAGACACACTAAAAGGACCTCCCTAGTTGCTGGTCCCCGAAGGGACCAAAATACAAAAACAACAAAACATCATATTGTATCGGCCCAATGGTGACAGAAGAGACATTGACAATAGGTTGTAGTGGCGAGGAAGACGCCGGGGAAGAAAAGGACACAGCATGGTTCGTGTAATTACATGTTTTGCCTCGATCGGCAGCGAGCGCATCATCTGTCAATCACCGGCAGCAAGTCCGGCAGCTGGAGCAGATGGCGGAGGAAGGAATTGAGCCGCTCATTGACTTTGTTTCTTGCCGAGGGAAGGGGCACACTCACATCCCTCCTCCTAGGAATCAAAGACAACATTGTATGTTGCCATACTATCGAGCTATGCCACGATGGCCTCGACGAGAAGAATCTCATTAGATATGGAGGATATGAGGAGAGACAAATCAATAGGAAGGCCTTCTCTTCTTTCTTCATTCTACTCCTGTCGGAGGCAGGTCGGCCACTCACTGACACTCTATCCTCCGACACGTTATCCAAGATAATTCACACATCCTCATGCTACTTCGGTCTCGACAAACGGGAGCACCGAAAGCCAAATATGCTTTGTGCACAAGAGATTAGTCTAATCCCTTCACACGCCATTTCCTGTTCCTGCTGTTGTGACTAAATCTGCGTTTAAATAAAGTTAGAGTCTTTGAGCAGCGCTGCTGATGAATCCTGTTAGAGCCACAATGACATTTCCTCCATGCTCTGTTAAAGGGGAACCAGGAGCTGGAAATTGCACCTCAGTGCTAAATGAAGCCTAAAGCTTTAATTAAGAGCAGCACACAAAGAGTGGCGGATGCTGGCTGCCGTTCACAGCTCTCATGTTTCAGCCCCTCACTCGAGGAGGTGTCTGGGAAATCTGGACAGGTGCTGAGGTAAAACAAAACGAGATGAGAGCCTCCCGGCATTGTGGTTAAATCGCCGGCATTCACTGTGACTTTGAAAGGGCAAAGGCGGATCCTGGGCTCCATACCTGACTCACAGCCACTAATCACCGAGGCTTAGAGGTGAAATCCGCTGTGAAGTCACTGTTGCTAAACCCACAGTGGTGACGCCTTCTCCATTTCTGCTGCAGTACTGAGGAGACTTTAATAATCGTGTGCAACAAAATCTGATGAAATGAAAATCGTAAAAAATCAAGGTCAATTTTATTCACTCAGAACCAAAATCAAGTTTCTTACATTTACCATCACAGGTTGCCTCAGTGGACCATCATGCTCTGCAGCAAAATCTTTCGAACAAAGTCTGATACAGACGTGACGGTTCTCAAAGGCAGAGAGAATGGAGCTGGTTCCACTTTAGGGAGGGATTGTAGATTATAAATGAAGTAGAAAATGATAATAAACAATTGTAGCAAACAGATTCACGAGCGTCACAGAGAAATGACAGGAAATCCCCATAAATCACTTTGACCACAGCAGGAGACGACAAAATTAAAATGGTAAAATTCATCTTTCTAGTGACTTGATTCTAATGAAGCTGTGGAATAAATGAAAAGACAGAAACAAATCATCTGCCAATAAAGACGAGCTCAGAAAGCCGTTTCTTTTTTAACCAATATTCTAAAACAACTTAATTACGGGATCTTGTCGGAGCGCCTTGGACGTGGGTGACGTGACTGTTCTGCAGAATCAAATAAGAAAAGAACAAATACCTCATGAGTGACTTGTGATAACGTTCCGTAGGTGTTAATCTTCTAACCCACTAAACCTATATTCTTCCTGAACCGTGCTTCTCACTGGTAACTGTACCAACATATCGGTTTGAGCCGGTTGGTTAAAGATCAACAAGTGAGGGGCTGGCGTGTCCTCTCTCCTCCAGCACAGGTCGTGTGCTGCAGAGAGGAGGCAGAGCCTGCGTAAAATGGTGGCCGAAGAAGAAGGCTGAGGGGTGGAAGTGTGAGTGAGGGGAGAAGAGGAAACCAAATCTGCCACTGTGGCCTGTAATTGCTCACTAGGTGGCTACAAGGTTAACACTTGTCTAGACAGAACCATTCACACACACATTCTGCTCTGGCAAAAGCTCAAGGCTGTAAAACCTGCTTCACTGTTCCTCGCGCTGCAAACAATAAGCCGGGCTTTCTCTTCACTGTGAGAAAAGGAGCTGAACCAAGCCAGAGAGGGTGGCTTGTTACACACGCCCTTCAATTCAATGAAATCTAAAGGCCTCCGCGGAAATCAATGAAACCGGAACTTTGTCTCCATTCTGCACGTCTGCTCTCGTTTGTCTCCTTCTGAGGTGAAACTTCGCCCAGAACCCATCTGACTGTGTCACCGACTCCTCCTGATACAGTCACATGATTTCACATGTGAAACTGACTGTATGGGGCGGTGCTATATGACCAAAATCTTGATAGACAGTAGAGCACAATCTGAAGCATTAGTCCTTTCTATATATATATATTGTAGCCTCGCACAGTAAAATAAAATGCTTCACATTGATTCTGCATCGTGTCCATCACCCACGTCCTGTCTTTATTTCTGTGATACTCTTGTCCGGGCCGACCTCGGCCTGGTGGCACCGTCACACTGCAGGGGAGAGGACAGAATTGAGACCTGGACAAAGAGACAAACACACAATCAGTGTCACTCAAAAGACAGAAGAGACGTACACCAAAGATAATCAGATCAACTGTGTGCGTGCACATTAATGAACGCTAACTTCACTTCATGAAGCGCTCTCAACTTGATAATGTGCACAGTATTGTACCTCAAACACTCACCGGTTCATAATCGACTTGTTGTGTCTGTGTGTCCTGAAACTCGTAGCTGTTCATGATCACCACATTGAGGATATTAATGTATGATTATTTATTTCAACGGAAGTGAAACTAAAACCATCAAAAAATCTAGCTTCACCATCTGTTCTCATACATCTAAGCTTTTCTGTGGGAAGAGTCGTACACATGTTTTCAAACCCTGTATTCTGCATGGTTTTTGCTATGTGCCATTAGGAAAACTTTTATTTCACATAATAAACAATGAAGGGAAAAAAAATGCACATTTATGTTTGCATTATACGTAAATATGTTTGTTTTATTAATTCAAGATTTTTATATTTGACTGTAAAACAAAATCTCCGTTTTACTTCAGAGCAGAAACTACAGATGAACTAAACAGTCAGTGATGAAGGAGCAGTGACGGACCTGGTGGACGCACCTCAGAGGGTTTCAAGTGAACGAGCTGAGACTAACTGGCGTGGGGCCGGGGCTCCGCTGCGTCCCGCCGTCGTAGCAGGATCCTCCGCAGCTCCTCGTCGGGGTTTGTTGACGGGGGTGCGGCCTTTGTTTGAGGGGGGGTTCTATTGAAATTCCCCTGGAGAATTTGAACAAAAACACACACACGGAGGCCTGGTGAGCGAACAGGGAGTGTAGATAGAGGTGGACGTTAACTGGGGTGGATGCATCACTAATCTGACAGGAACAGGGCTCATCTTCATCCTGTGTGTCTGGTGTGTTGCAGTAAAACTTTGTCTTCAGTAAAATATCTGACGACTGGGTTGTATTTTATTTTAACATCACGTTCTGGTGTGAGCAGTGTGTTTCTCCTCCTGAGTAAATACAGTTGAAGTTCAACAAGTAAAATAAGGCCTGTGAGGATATTTGATTGTTGATCATTACCATGATTCCTTTAAGTTCCTGAATGGCGGAATTAGAGGGCAGCCTCTGCATCTGACAAAAGGAAGAAAGGAGGAAAAAGACGGGTTTGGTAAATAAACAGCAGTCTGACCCATTATACTTATTTTTCCCCAATCAGCAGAGGCGAGACACAGTAGGTAAGCACAGGGACGTATGCTTTCTACAAGAGGCAAATGTGTCAACACAATCATTCTGAGTCAATTTTCCCATCCTCATTATTTCTAATTACCTGGCAGAGCAGGTCCTAATGCTATCTAATTTGAGTTGTTGTGGTGGAGGAACATGCAGACGGAGATGTCTTGGCCGTATGTCGTGTTTTATCGAAACAAGCAGCTCTTAGATATTACCCCTCACTGATGGATTCAGGAGCACTGAACAAAATCTGTACTGTGTATATACCGTGTACAGAAAACTCATTCAGGCCCTGCTGGACGTATTTTCCTTTCATGGAATTAATGGAATAGTTTGAAGTTTTACTGTCTCTGTGTCTGGAGGAGGTGTTGTCCTTTACTCTGAAGGGATTTGATCTTTTCTTTGTCTGCATGACGTCTTCTGTTCCACTCAGACGAACAGCAAACATCACTTCCTGTGTTGAAGAAGCTTCTTTCGCTGCCACTTCATCTCTGCTCATGTGAAAAACCTCACCACAGTTTCAGATCCATCAGCCTCCTGAGAATCGAACATAAACCTCTAGCTACTGGCAGAACTCTCACTTCACCATTGTCTCAGTGTCTCACATATTTATTTCATTTCACCTAACTTACTCATAGGCTTATTTATTCCAATCCTGTGTGCACCAACACAAAAATCCCAGCACAAGTTTCCTCCATTATTGTTTCAGTCGGTGCGATTGGATGAAAGGCTGAGTTCACCCTGCAGAGAAACTCCGGAGAATTGGGTCCGGACTTCCTCCAGAGGTTTTCCTTTCACACATGAACAAAGCAGCGGGAGCTCCTCTGCACAGACACGCTCACAACAGCAACAGATCCTCTGGAGGATTCAGGCAAGAGGTGGTTCAGCAGGCAGAGGCAGGAAGTGACAAATTCAATTCACTGCATGTGTTTTCTACGGGTCTGGCTCCGTTTTTTTCATCCTGAGATGTTTGTATCTTTTTGGTTTCATTTTTCATATTTGCATCTGTCGCGTGAATCATGATCAACCCCTCCACTCGCTCGCAGTGAATCCTGCAGAGCCTCCTCTGCTGTGTTCTCACATCGGCTCCTCTGGACTTTCTGCAGACTTTATACTGTACGAGGGGGCCAGGCGGAGAAAGTAAGCAGAAACCGTGGAGGATCTCACTCGGACGTTCATTCACACATACACGTCCTCCAGAGAGTTCAGTGCATGTCTGTAAGCAGCTGTACAGAGACACACTCATTCACACCTCTCAACTTACACCGATTCACCTGCACCTGGAATGTAGGAGGAGATAGGTGAAGAAAACTAAGACAAACACAGTGGGAGCATGGAGAACATGCAAACCACAGACCATAATACTTATTCACATTGAGGTGACTTCACACACTTTCATGTAGCCTCATTTCTAACCTCACACTAATATTTCAGTTATTCAGATTAAGATTCCTCTGTATGGTCCCACACACAGCATGCAACATGCAAACATGGGGAAATTTGACCTCTGTATTTAACCCATCCGTGTGAACACACCACACACGGAACAGTGGGCAGCCATGAAGGCGCCCAGGGAGCAATTGGGGGGTTCGGTGCCTTGCTCAAGGGCACCTCGGCAGTGTCCAGGAGGTGAACTGGCACCTCTCCAACTTCCGTCCATGCTGGACTTGAACCAGCCACCCTCTGGTCCCCAAGCTACTGCCTCCCCTATAATAAGAATATTATCTGTGCCTGTGTTCACATCTCAACCAAAGAAGTCAGTCAAGGTTTTATCAGAAACTCAAGCTAGCATTCAATTCGGTGAACAATCTGTAATGATCTGTGAGAGTTAACAATCCACCGTGTACACTGCCTCAGCTGCAGGACATCGTCACGTTGACTCAAAAGAAAAGTTCGATATATTTTAGATGCAAACAAGATGACGGACTGTATGATGAGTGTATATATAGCAATTCTGATCCTGAGATTTGATACCATTAATGGAATGGTTAATAAAGATTAAACTGTTTGTAACTTTATGTATCAAATGCATTGTTTTCACAGTAACATTAGCATGTCACTTGAGTGATGCACACAAATAAATCAATATTAAATATACAATATGGTTTAGAACTATTCATATTCAAATTCATTCAAATAAATTATACGTGGAATATTCATAAATGTTCAATAGTCAATAAACCGAGATAAGATCTCCACATCAGCCCACAGTCATGTGTGCCAGCAGGAACACAGCAGGTCAAAGGTCATAGGTCATGTTGGTGAAGTCACCTGTCTCCTGGTTCTGTTAGCTGACTGGCCGACCGGTCGAAGCTGAACACCCTTCTTGATCCTCTGCATCATTTCGTCCACTGCCTGCTGTCTGACGTCCGTGTCCACTGAGCATCACACACACACACACACACACACACACACACACACACAAACAAGCGAGACAAAGACGTCATCACTTTGCCTGCAGCTTTAGTCCTTTTCAATGGACACACTGTATTTAGTGGCTTCTGTGACACTAAACGAGGGTCTGCCTCAGTGGGAAACTGTGCCAAGAACCAAAATGAGTTTAAATGATTTTGAGAGGTGCGAGGCAACGTGTAATTCATTAGCAGTGCAATTGAAATAAAACTCATTTGGATGTGAAAGCGTAAAAATGACACCAGCCCCAGGGACCAATCAATTACATTTTTTTTGGAGAAACTCCAGCGTTTCATCTTAATTATGCCATAAATACTGACTGAACTGTATTATCCTCACTTCTGTTTCAGGCTGTAGTCATGCAACAATAGCTATTGCTCTTGCTAATTTTGTAGTATTCCCAGTATTCACCTGTAGAGTTCAGAGCCTTGTTAGTGTGTGAGGTTAATGAAATTCAACAGGAATGAAGTTTGACTGGTCGTTAAAACACAAACACGGCATCCGAGAGAAAGAGAGTTCAAAGAAGAGGCTAAGAAAAAATAAAACTCTCCACTAATGCGGCCTGTTGGCTATGAAATGTGAATATTTAATTTCCTATCGCAGCGTATTCAGCGACACACACACAATGGAACTATTGTCAGTAAAACGACTTTAATGTGTCACATAAAAACTACTTTGTGTTGAAGTAATAGTGAAATATTTTCCTCCAAAGTGCTCAGAAAGAGACTATTATTCTTGTGGCAGAGTAGAAGATACTCTGTGCATAGTGCCCAATTCAGGCCGCACATATTCACAAACGTCGAACAAAATGAGGACTCAGAGAAGCCTGTTCAGTCAACACCCATGTCCTACCTCCTCCAACGAGTCAAGGCTCCCCTTTTGTTTGCACTAATTGAAGAATTTAACACGCTGACCTGATAGGCCAGTGATGGAGATTCGAGTTTGAATTTCTCCTGCGCCACTTGCTTCTGCATTCGTCCTTCTACACTGTACTCACGTTGATTTGCAAAGGAAAAGGTGAAAGGAAAAAATTCTAACAGGAGAACTATTTAAAAAAAAAAAAGAAATAGAAGAATCAAGACCAACTCTCCTACACTGAGATGCAGGAGAATGAAAAGCAAAATGAACATGTTTGCGAGGAGAAAGGAAAGATACACTGGATGTTTGAATTTTCAGAGGGGACATTACTACAGCAGTTACCTCACTGCAAACTACAGTCTTGTCCATTTCAACAGCATTGTCCAGCAGAATCCTCTTTTCTAAATATTACAAATATTAAAAAAGATATCTATTTCCAACCACTGTGGCCTCTTCGTCTTTACATTTAAAGGACACGCCTTCCTTTTTCATTTAAACTTGTTGGTGTCTGGATAACGTGACTCTGTGTGACCTTAGTGTGGCTCCATATTTCAGACACTTTTTACTTTTGCTTCCCTCAGAAAGAAAAATGCGACAGCTGGGAATCAAATCAGACCTTCAGCTTTGTGCATTCTTTCATCTTCTTGCTTAAAATTCCCATCATGTCCAAAATGGTGCTGACCTCTAAACAGGTTGACTGACATTGACCACAGTCTTTGGCTGCGTTGTGGTTGATGTATTATCCTGCACATAGCAGCGTTTTATTTTCTCCCCGGTGTAACTGAACAACGCATGGAGGGATTTTCACCAAACTCGATGTGAATATTACTTGGGAATGTATCTACAGATTCTTAACTTTTGGAGCTGATCCATTGAGACGAGAGAACTGCACGCTTGTTGCTTCAACGTGCACAGTGACAGCAGTATTTCATGCTTGATCCTGCCTTCCTGCTGAACAGTCAAATCTTTACAGATGCTTTGACATCTACTGACGTGGGTGGGATTTCTCCTGGTGCGGGCTTTCAACTAAAAATAACAATCATCTCGTGATTAAGTTAGTAACACTAATCACAGGGTGGTCATCCCCGACCAACCACCTACCTTGTCTGTGTGTTTTGTATAAATACTGCATTCCTTTAGAACAAAGACCTGCATCCGAACACACCGTAATCCATGATGGACGCCTGCCAGTTTATACAAATTCTCCAGATTTAATCGTACTACATGTTGAATGGTGCAGCAGCGCACTGTATATGATTGTGGATGTTTGCTGTGTACCTGGTGTCTGGGCAGAGTCGTGGTCCTCTAGTGGGATGTCAGTGCTGATGTCCTTTCTCTTTCGGATCAATGACAACAGCGAGCTATAGGGGAAGGCACAGACAGAGCAGCTGGTTAGGATCTAGGGTTCTACTCTCACAGGAACATACTGGTGATCGGCTGACGTTCTCCTAAGGCCTTCCGGAGCAGGTAAAGGTTTAAATCAAACTCGTGCATTTGATTTTAAATGAATGTCACCACGTCACAGCATAATCAGTAACAAATAATACTGTAAGGGACAAATAGTGACCCACACAGTTCTCTTTCACCTTCAGTGCCAGGTCATCTCAAAGATAAGAATGCACCAATTAGAGGCCCGACAATAACAGAAAGAAAGTCACCAGGCTGTGTGAGGATTCAAAGTCGTCCAGTGGCAGCAAGTGACTGAAAGGTTTTTAGTGATTACAAACTTTCTTTTTGACAGATTCTGAACTAGCCTATATACTCTATAAATGTATAGATGTACAGCCTCCACACTAAAAACTACATCAGCCATTAGTTCATACTAATGGTGTGCGGCTGTGGCTCAGGGAGTAGAGCGGGTCGTCCTCTAACGTCCTGGCTAGATCCCATGCCAAAGGGCCCTTGGGCAAGAGACTGAACCCCAAATTGCCCCTCCAGTAGAAAAAGTGCTGCCCATAGATGCCCTGTATGAATGTGTGTGTGAATGAATGAATGGTGAAAAAACGGAAATGTAAAGAGCACTGAGTCGTCACCAAGACAGGAAAGGTTCGTTGTTTGCATTTCATTGCACAAAAGTTAATTTAAAAATGCAGACTGTGTGGGATCAAACCTGAGTGGGTTGGAGGACAGGGCCGGTGGAAGTGGTGGTGGTGGTGGCGGCGGCGGTGGAGGAGGTGCTGGGATGGGGATTGGGTTGGTAGCTGCCTGCAGCTTCTTCTGGAGCTCCTCAACTGGCCAGTCGATCGCATCCAGTAACAGTAAACACGCGGCAACAGCACAGAGAGCAGAACAAGACTTTAGTCAAGACTCTGGAGAACAGCTAATAGTCTTCCATGCTGACAAAAGACATGAGGAGAATTTCATGGCTTTGTTGTAGCCTACACACACAGGGTTCCCTCCATAGTGCCAACAATGTGCAGAGTGTAATGCCCTGCAGCTCATGCTGTCCTTACAGTTCCAAATATATCCTCACCTGTAAACCGCAGATCCTTGACCTCCACTTCAGTCTTGGAGCATTTGTCACTGCACTCCCTCTTCTCCTCCTCCACAAGCTCCAGTTTGCGCCTCAATGCCGCCAGCTCCCTCTGGGCCTCACAGCTTCTCAGTCTGTCCTCCATCTGCTTTATCTGCGGATGGACCAACCACAACACAATGTTTTCACACAGATGTAAAAAAAAAAAAATTCATGTTAAAGAGTTTCTTTTCTACTCTCCTGCTGGAACTGTGCTCTGCTGATTATGATTATTGTGATTATGAAGGGGCGGCTGTGGCTGAGGGGTGGAGTGGTTGCCCTCCAAGCAGAAGGTTGGCAGCTCGTTCCCTGGCCTTGGGCAAGATGCTGAACCCCGAATTGCCCCTCATGGAACAAAAAGTGCTGCTAATAGATGCACTGTGTGAATGTGTGTGTGAATGGGTGAATGGAAAACTGTACTGTAAAGAGCTCTGAGTGGTCATCAAGACTAGAAAAGCTTTACATTAATACAAACCATTTCTGATTAGTAGCTGCCAGTGAACATTCAGTCACTGGCTCTCAGACCCCTGTTCCTTAACCAGTGTTTTAATTGTTCCTCAAATGAAGGGCATGACAACCTCTTTCCAGCACCAGGAGAGATCAGTGATCCCACTCAGCTCTAATTGTTTTCCATCAGTGCCACAGGGAGTCAGGGGAGGTTGGGGGGGCTGGAGGCGACAATGCTTCCTTTAATTATTGATGTGGCAGGTCGTGGCCCTGAGGTGTTTCTGTCATGGCCTGCGATCATTCACCAGACAACCCTCCTGTGTCATTAACCAGCTAAATAATTGTGTTTCTTTGATTGATGCTATTCTGATGCATATGAATTAAAGGGATTACAGGAGTGAAGCACAGGGATGGGTCACACATGCAATACCTTTCTTCTACTTTAACTTGTTTCGTGTTTGTAGAGAGTTATGTGAAGCAGCAGGCACCACAATGAGACCTCCTTTGTTTGTTAGATTTACTATTTACAACCTAAAAAATCTATAAAAGTACATAAGCAGGTCTACAGTGCACAAGTGAGCATTCACTTTACTTTTCTTTTGCATGTGCCATCTGGATGCACAGACATTTGTGGACTCTTACAGCCAAACCATGAAATGTCTTCTTTGCCCCCCTTCTGCAGTACAAACTAGTATGGCACTCAGTAGAGTGCATACCTCCACAGAGGCTAAACAGTCCCCTTAGTAAGCAAAACACATACAAAATCACTACATCCAGGTTTCTATTTGGATCTGCATCACATTCCACACACTCACAGATATCAGCCACCTAACCATGCCAGGTTGTTTTCATCAAGACCCATGAATTATTCAGAGAATCAAGGAGAATGTTGAAAAGCGCCCTGCCTCACAAATATTAGATCCGCCTCCTGATCTGGATCTACACCACCCAAATCAAGTTTCACAGTAATCCATCCCGTGGTGTTTGATTTTACAAACAAACAAATGGACAGGGGTAAAAACATTATCTCTGCTTAGAGCAGAATCAAATCTCAAAGCAGTGAAGATGTGCAGCAGAGAGATGCTGTGAGATGCTGGGTTCACTAAATGTGTCAGATCTCTTTCCTGACCCTGCCGTCCTCACTGCTCTGTTTCAGGTTCTCATTTGATCAGCAGGCGTCACTGATTTCTACTACGGAAATGATTATTCCAGAGTTAGTCTGGGGGTAGGATGGCTTTAAGCTGCTCTGACTTTAAGAAGAGGAGCTTTGTCTGCTGATATTAGGGGAAAAAACGTGAAAAATTCCAAAAGTGAAATGTGTGTAAGAACACTTTACAAGAGTAGCACCGAGGATGAGGAATACAGATACATGTATATTGAAGTCTATAAAATGAGCTGTTTTGTTTTCTAGATAATGTGCCTTGATGCCCAAGGTCTTAAAGTTCCTGCTGCAATCAGACGTCCACTCCCAGGAGGTCCCTTGTGGCCACAAAGTTGCAAATACAATAAATTGGAAAAGACCAAACTGACTATTTAAAAATATCTTTTCAAAACCAGTCACTGGTGCTAATTCAGAAGCACCTGGTGCCTGCGTATTTGGCCTAATGTGCTACAAGCAGACAATTAAACACAACAGCAATTTCCAATTTTTCTTTAAAGAAATTGCTCGGCTCTGAAATTGCCTCCAAATTAGTTTTTTTTGTCCATTTAAAAGAACTGAGTATGTTATTCAAACCAGCAAGAAGAAATGTCCCTGAATCATAAGAGCTTTGTTCTTTACATGAAGATGAAAGTGGACATCTGGTCATGAGGTCTACTTCCTCATGATTGAGGAAGCGTGTATTTTGAACAGATGACTGTTTTCACTATTTCCTCATCTGATCATCCACGTCTATCATCCTGAATCAGGAATCAAAGATGCTCTATTTGTGATGTTACATCCAGAAGTTATCAGAGTGACCTGGTTGTGGTGCTCCAGCCTCTGTGTCTCCAGATCCTGGGTCAGTCTGGTGACGTGACTGAGGGCTTCCTGTAGAGCGTGGCTGGGCGAGGAGCTCTGCATCAGGATCTGACTCTGTCTCTGCAGCTTCTTTTGCTCGACAACCATCTGAAGAAAACAAGGAGGGACAGTGGGTATTCCACGGTCGGACACAGCCTAATGTCCTCGCACAGAGAATAAGTGAGGAACATGGAGGGCGGCAGTAAGAAACACACTCACTGCTCTGCCAAAGTTCTCTGCCTCTGTCCTCAGACTCTGCTCCAGGCTCAACATGTCCTGCAGGGTCTTGTATTCCTCCACAGCAAACTGAGACACTGGACAAACATTTACAAACTGGCTCATTTACTAGCAGAGATGCATTGACTGTGATACAGTGGTATCTGTGTAATTACTATAGAACAATAAGGCCGTGCTGTTTTCATACAGAACTATTGGTGATATGTAGAAATGAACACCATATGACCTTACCTCTGTTATATTTCCCCAGGAGCTTCTTTTGCTGCACTGTCTCAGCAATTAAAACAGTGTTATCATGTTTCTCCTTCAGCAGCTGCAAGTGGAAGGAGGGTCAGAGCGGAGAAACAATACAGACACTGCTGGTGATGAAGTGCGGATGGAAAAAAAAACATTCATGTAGTTTGAGTGTGTTTCTTTAAAGTTGCTCCATCCATGCGTATTTATGTTTTATTTGATTTCACTCTGCTTCATCCTTTCTTTTCCCTGCTTTGCAGCATACATGCACACATTCCAACAACCTGTTGAGAAGTGGTCAGACTGTGCACATCACCCATGTGCTTCAATGCATGCATGTTCAACCTTGTGCATGTGAAAAAACACAAACACGCATAGAAAAAAAAAAACAGCTGGTCTGAATGGACCCGTTCATTCATACTTTCAGGGAATTGACTTCAGTCTACACATTTATTACATGTTTCATTAAATCTATTAATTAAACTCAAATTTACTTGAAACGTAATTGATATGAAACGTGAACTCTGTTACCAGTCGAAGATGAAAAGTGACTCTTTAAGCTAGTACCTGCATAAACACCTGTTCCAGCATAAAGATGCTGTAGAGTCCGTTCTGTCATCCATGCTAATGTACTATCTATCGTTTCTTGTCAGGTCAATTCATTTCAACTTTATTTATGCAGCACCAAATCACAATATACATTATTACAATGCACTTTACATAGTGAAGGATTTAACCTACCACCACTGGTTGGGTTGAGCGGAGAGAAATGAGAGAGAGAGAGAGGAGAGAGATTTAAAAGAACTAGAACAGTAGAAATGTTTGCTAGTCTTACTGAGGACATAGATTTAGAATGAACAATAATATATTGTATTGTGTAATGTTAGTGACAGGTCAAAACAAACAGAAGAAGGTTTGAACTTACTTCCTCTCTGGTCTCTCTCAGTTGGTCTCTCACTGCCTCAAGATCGGTTAGTGCTTGAGTTTTCTCCTTTGACGTTAACTCCAACTTACTTTGCAGCTCTGAAACAAAGACGTCGGACAGTGTGAATGTGAAGTGATTGTCTAAGTCTGAGGGACGGCTGGCTCTCAGAGGTTATTTCGTGATTTGCTCCTTTGGTAGAGACCTGCATTCTCAGGTGTCTATGACTATGGGAGACATTGATTGTACCCAAATCTTCCAAACTGGAGGGTAAAAAAATATTAAAACGTTATTTCTGTGGGTAGTTGAAGTAAGCTACAGGTAGTTTCACCCAGCTCAGTGTTCTTTTAACCAGCCCTTATGAGAAAACCTGTATTTCGTTTGTGCTGACCATGTGTCTGAGATTATAAAAATGTAATATGTGGGTTTACAGCAGAACAGCGGTGAAAAGCTGAGAATGGGCAACACTTGCTTTTAGAATTTTTTTTTTTTTACGATATGTATAAGTTATATGCAATTTGTATGAATGTACAGTGGAATAAAAAAGGACAACAGCAGCATCGACACTTTGTATTTGTCTAGATGGAAGTTCTCTCAACTGCTTCATGTGTTAAATTAAAAAACGGGAGGAAGTGGTGTTCCCAGGTGAAGCAGCTCACAGCGGGAGCAGGCGGAGACATTTAGGAGGGTACTTAAGCAGAAAAGGTTGTTGACATCTAAAATTGTTTTAGTGATGGATGGTATGACCTTTGTTGAATAGGACGAGTATTCTGATGAATAAAATCCCCAAATTAAATGAAAATGCCCGGGGTCTCACCTGCGATGTGCTCGGCTCCGAATATACAGCTGATGTATATATGTTAAAAGTGAAAAAACAACACACTGTCCACTAGCTCTCCATTAACATGTTATCATGGATTTTAACTATAATAAGTCTACAATCTTGGAGCAACGTATTTCTGTATTAATCATTATCAGACTTTATCATTCGCAAATAACTCTCCCTTTTGATGTCAACAGCCTTAAACAACATGATGGGAAAAGCATCATGGAGTGTGAATCCATTATCACCAAAGGTATAATTACTGCTTAACTAAAGGAACTGACCATTACATTTTCCACTGACAGCTGGATGAGAAGAAAACACTCAACATATGTAGTTACTCCTTACTTATCGCATGCATATGCAATGCATCACTTTAATTTTGGTATATATATATATATATACACACATATATATATATACACATATATATATATATACACATATATATGTATATATATACAATCAACAGATGCAGATACTGCTGTGTTACATATTCTTGTACAGCTACATGTTGTCTAACATCACACAGTAAATTCACTTTGACATGTAAATGATCTGAAGTGCCTCTTAAGTCATTGCTGCCTCTCTGTTGAATGACAAGATGTGATAAAAAATGCACCTTTAAGGTTGATAATAGCACACACCACAATTAGGTTCTGCTATATGGCTGAAACTGTAACTAGAATGTATGATAGGTTTGTGGTAAACATGAAACACACATAACCACTGCAGACATCCTGTACCTGAGATGGTGCTCTGGCACTGAGCGGAGAGGCAGACCATGCTGACGGCATTTAAATCTTCACCATCTTCCTCCTCCTCTTCGTCCTCAAGGCTGATCTGTGCGATGGTGCTTGGGCTGATGTGGGACAGCAGCATCATGCTCTTCCTCTTCAGAGAGCGGTTCTGGCGGTTCAGCTGCAGCGAGGACGCGCGGAGAGAATCATGGAAAGACACACAGCCGGGCGTCAGTGAATAAAAGAGACTGATGGCACTGTAAAATTACTTAAAGGTGCTGCAGGTGACATTTTATATTTCTCACAATGAAATCACTGTTTTAACAGGTACTTTTATTTGCTATCCATGTTTCCTGCAAAGCAAAAGATTTAATTTCATAAACACACAGCAGATTTAATCTCGTTGCTGAAGATCATCGGCGCCAATTTCTGGTCACTGATCTAATTGGTTGATCATGTAAAAAACATCATACAAAGTATTGAAAAGCTACACGAAGCACTGCCACTGTCTAGTCTCAGTCTAGTCTAAGTGCATTATTCCAACACAAACAAGCCACAGGGAGTCACAATCACATTTCTCTGCAGGTACACTGTCTGTGAATCAAATTCCTCCGACCTCCAGACCCTACATTTTGGAATCATTCATTTATATCCTGTGAGTTTTCACAAGAAAAGCAAAACATAATGTACAAATCCCACCTCTTCTGAATAGTAATTACTTCTGCAATAACCGTCAATTATTTATATATTTCGCTCATATTATATTCATACCCATTTTACCACATATAGTTATTTTTATATTTAGTCATGTCAAATGCAACTTTGCACCTTGTCTTTTGTGTCTTACTCTCTGTGAATGTTGAACTGCTGCTGTGACACAACAATTTCCCAACTGGGATCAATAAAGTGATCATCTAATCTAATCTAATCTCATAAATACAGTCCAGTTGCCATTTTCTTTTTACTGCAGTTAAAGCAGTGACCTAAACCCAAAACATTAATCAATTCACATTGAAGTAAACAATTTTGCCACAATAGTGTATGATAATCATAGAGATAATATTCACTGTATATTATCAACTATAGAATGTTTAATTCACTGTATTTTGACCAGAAATAACATGGTTGAAAATGTACAGGCATAAAAGTTAACTCACTTTAAAGTTGGGTAATAACAACGTACTATAAAATCTGTTGGACGTGATTAAATTGCAGTAACAGCAAAACTTTTCAAAGGAGAGGGCTTTTTATTTCTCTGACTGGAGAATAATTTAACGGATAATTGCCGACAGCACGGCCGCGACAATAACACTTCAGACAACTGTAAATAGAGCGATCACAAGGTGCAGCCACAGACACAACCTCTGAACGCACAACTTACGGGCCGTTCTGCACATGTTGCTTTAAAGATGACATGAACCCGACAAAAAGTGACAGAGCCTGCCTCGTACACTGCCTTCATTTCTCAAATCTGCATCGCCGCTGGAAAACAGTGATGAGGGCGCAGAGAGACAGACGGGGGCAGATGAGATGTTTGTTCTGATTTCCTCGTTTCTTTTGGCCCTGCAATCAGTCATAATGGCAGGACGCATGCAAAAGCAATGATAAGGTGTGAAAAAAGACATCATTAGAGGAGCACAAGCAGATGAAGGAGGCAGAAAAAAAAACAGTGAATATCTCTCCTTTTAGATGTAATCATAGTTTTTTGATGTGGCATGTGTTTGCCTCTTGCATCTCTGTGCATCGTGTTTTTCCATGTGATTATAACTTCTAACACATATTCTTATTCGGCATTCAATTCTTTGCAAATTGATCAGTTTCTATTCTAAGCATCATGCATTCTAATCTGCCACAATGGCCATTCCATTTCTGAAGGTTCAATCAGCAGGACAGCCATATGTTTCAATTAAGGAGACCATCACTAACGCAAAACATGAATGATGCCTATGTGAAGGAGATTGATGCCAATTATGCATGTTTCTTGGTGTCGTCTGAAGGAAGAAAAGTGCCTGGAGGGGAGAAAAGAAGAGGAGAAATAGAAAAGGCGAGTCATAAAAGAAACATTTATTAATGGCATCCTGGTGGGAGCGGATTGCAGCAATTCCATCTTTTGATAATGCCCTTCAGGCTGCATCTTTTCTTTTCTGAAACGCAATCAACAATACATAACATGGAATCACATTATTTCGATAATAATCTACAATTGGTGGCAAGAAAAGTACATATGAAATTATATACTCAGATGAATCAAGGCTGGCATAGCATCGGGAGAGCACTCTGCGGAGTCACAGAGTCACGTCCCCTTCATCTTGCTTTTGATCACACATCAAAAATAAGAAAGATTAAGCATCAGAAACACATTCCGATGTGACTGGTTGTAAATTGCTAACGCCCTCTGCTCGCTTTTTAATTCAAAATATTGAGGACTTAAGGAATTGCTCTGAACTTCAGCCTCATTCAGACAGGGAATATTGGAGAGGCTAAATTATCATCATCTATGAGGAAATGAATAGTTCAGTTTGTCAGTTCTCCTGCGACAACTCCTTGTGTGTTTTGACTTTAATTTAAATGTAAATAAGTGATAAAGGGATGTGTAGGAAATGTGACTTTATATATAATATTGCTGGAATGCTAGTAGAAAGACCAACTCTGTTTAAAAGGGTAATGTGTATGAACCGTATTCTACTAACGGTGCTTACTGGTTAATGAATGCATTCTCAGTCGGGGTCTGGTTATGGTCGATGTTTTATATCGAGGAGGGAGAAGAAAGACGCAGAGAGCAAAACACCGAAGGAACAGATAGCCTGATAGAGAGATCGCCCGCCACACAGCGAGCTTTAGTCTGCATGTTGTCTCTCAAACTATATTCAGTGGAAGTACATGGCCTGCTACATTATGTCTTTTCCGAAGCCAAGTTCCTGCACTTGGTCAGTAGAAGATGAAATCGGGCACAAAATTGTCTCTCAAGACTATGACCATTCCCCATATCTGTCATCATCTGCTAATTATCCACCTTTGTTCAAACCAGCACATCCGATGACAAAGTAGATACTATGACAACAATCTACAGTACATTTGGTCTCCTGTGGTCTGAAAAGAAAATCTTTATATCAGGCCAATGAAATCTTCTTTGACAGACATCTGCATCGTGAGTCATTTCAAATATGTATTTTTGGAAATTTGGTTGAATATGGTTAAAAGTTTCACAGTTACACTTTTATGCAAAAAAAACCTCATGTCCCAACAACATCACGATGTTAAACCTGCAAAACAACGAGACGGGATAAAAACAGAGTGAATAGGAAATCAAGATGAGTGTGATAGTGGACTGAAACCTGGACTGGAAAAGTATTTTGTCTCCAAATCTCCTGACAAAACAGATTAATAGACCTTTAAACAAACATGACACTGAACTGAAAACCACCTGCCTTTCTTACTGTTACTATGGAAGGCAGGGACCAGTCCGCTAGCTTTAAAGCCACAGTTAAATATTAATAATAAATCACAAAATGCTGTACTCTGTGTTGTGTTTTCACCCCTTTTGTTTGTGTGTTTGTAAGTTTAGAAGGAAAATCCTTGACAAATTACAAGGAAACTTGTTGGAGGTAAGGGTCAGTATATGTTGGCTCCAGATCAGGGGGCAGATCCTTTTGTTTTCACTTTCTCGAACATGGAGTGTTCATCAACATTTGCCTTGATTTCTCAGAGAAATAAAAAGTTGATGCATGTTAGGGAGACTGATATGTATGAGTGTGTACCATTCTAGTTATTAGTGTTAATCAGCAGAGTGATCTTGGTGCTGCTCTTGGTGACCGGCTGGTTTATGGATTATTTATTGTAATGTTTTTGGCCAAAGATGGATATATATATATATTTTATTGGTAACATTTAGTTTTGGTATACATGCTTTAAACATTGATACACCTCTCTATTTATATAAAACACTGTACTTTCTTTTAAATGTTTAAATATTGTTATTTTGCTGATGTGCTCTGTTACACGTGACATAAAAAGGGAGTTTTTCCTCACAGTCGTCGAGGGTTAAGGGCAGAGGATGTCGCACTTTGTAAAGTTTGTTCAGCCCATGAAGCAAAATGTGATTTGTGAATATGGGTTACAAACACATTTTTATTGATGGGTGGTTCAGTCAATTTATGGAGCTATGAGTTATTAGCAGATTATATGAATATGAGGGGTTCAAAGAGCTTTACATTGTAAGATTGTTCCGAAGAAATTTCATGTTATTACTTGTAATTATGCAAATCATTTTGACAGAATTATCTTAACAGCATCTCTCTGCTCAGCGTTGCTCATTAGTATATTTATTACATTTAGGAAAGAGAGACTGACTCTCAGTCTCTGTTCAATCATTTTCTCCTGTCACACCTTCATCTTCTTATTTTTCACCTTATGTCATCAGAAATAGGAAGGAAATGCAACAATGCCAGTAATGATAATCATTATTGCAGTCCTTCCCGACCTCCTCTAAACAATGTTGACCTTACATTTCCTTTCCTTTACTTTGACAGATATGCAGGGGCGGGAAGGACGTTTCAGACTCAGTCAATTCTGTTGAGAAATATGATGCATTGGTTTTCAGAAGGCGGAGAGAAATAAAATTGTATTTTGAGAGTGTTTGAAGTCCAACCCCTTTCTTAGCAATCATTTGGTTTTGTTATTGTTTGTGGTGGTTATTAAAAATGAAGGACTTTTAAATAAATATCTCTCCTTCCCTCTCTCTCTCTCTCTCTTTCTGTGTGTGTGTGTGTAAATAATATAAAAAACTTAAGGCTACATTTCTTCAACATATCAAGAGTATTATAACAGAAACTGGCCTAGATGTAACATATGAACATTTGACTAATGTTATATAACTGCAGTCATATGTTGTGTGTCAGTTTAAGGCTTTTAAAACTTGTAAACAAAATGTAAGGTGAATTGCAGCAATGCTCAGCAGACCGGGAAAATCTATCAGTAGCAGGAGCTTCTTAATAGTGAAGAAATCCTCAAATCCTTAGCCGCCAGTGAAATCATCTTTGAGCCAAAAGTATTTCTCAACAACCCAGTCCAGTTCCCAGACGCTGTATAGTATTTGGACCAGTCCAAATCTTACTTGTCACTCGTATAAGATGAGGATGAAAAACAATCCAAAGGAAAGAGGACCACTGGAGGCTCAAGGACGCAAGAAACAAAAAAGGCATTAAAGTCAACCTTCACCATAATTCTCCCTCAGCCTCCCACTGCCCAAAATCTGCTCCAGCCAGGTGGACTGAGGGGGCTTTTGTCCAGAAATTGAATGAGAAATGATTACAGTGATAAGCTCAACACCAGTGGGCTGCAAAATCACTACGTGCCAAGCTTCCCCGCTCTCAATCACAACTCACATTTTAGCAAAAAAGTGTGCTCTGAATCAAAAGAGTCCAATACAATTTTACACACTAAGATATGGGGACAGCAGCAGAACTGGAGGACCACAGAGTGCTTCTGATTGCAACACCCAAATTGAATGTGTCAGTGTGTGATGGTTTCTGGAATACACAGACCAGAGAGACATCTTCAGACTGATTTGATGCTGCAGTATTGATTGAGCCAAACTTATTCAACATCAGCAGATTCAGATTACAGTAGTTCTAGCTTGCTTTATCTTGGTGACGGGATTTCCTTGATTGTGATCATGTTGTTGGACTTATGGTCCACGTTAGTCATGCAAGAGAGAGACAGCAAGTTCATTGTCTCATCGCGAAAAACTGTTGAGTTTCTTTTAACAGTCCTGCGATAATGTACGTTATAATTTGGCACTATAAAAATACAATTAAACTGAATAGAGGAAAAAGAAGAACTGCACCTTAGAGGCCAGGGCTTCAGCACTTTCTCGACACGTCCTCTCGATCTCCAGGTTCTCCTGAATGACGCTGACCTCTTCGATGACCATCTGAGACACTAGGAACAAAGACGAGTAAAGACACAGAAAAGCACACACTGACTTCATTGTCAAACTTGAGGCTGGTGTACATTGTGCTCCAGATGATTGACCTCACTCAAAAACAAAAACAGCCAGCGTCAAAATTCAGACCATGGGATTTCTGCTAAAACCAACTAATTAGAACAAGCAGCACGAACTGTCACAGAACACACTAAGTGATTAACTACTGCAAATACTTGTACATTTACTGTGCACTGAGAACAGAACAGAAAGTATTTAGCCTTTGTTTCCTTGAAATTACATGTATGTGTTATTTTGTTTTTGACCAATGAATCTAAAAGGAATATGCTGCTCGGATTATGTTGAGTGGCAACTTTTTTTTCAGATTGGTGCTACATTTTGCACAGAAGTCTTGCTGACGCATTGCACTGTTGACTCATTATTTGATCAAAACCAGGATCACTGCCAAACCCTAACCAAGAGCTTTGAGTTGCCTGAATTTAACCACATAAATACAAAAGTAAATTTCCCTTTAGAGTGGATATTCTATAGAATGTACAAATAAAATAAATTACCAGTCAACATGTACATATCCGTTCAGTATGATCATTTCTTATAAGTGTGACTTTGCTATTATGTTAAAACAAAGACATAATCTAAGCAGCATTACACTGTAACACATGAGTGTGGTGGTTTAACAATGTTGTCCTTGCTCAAGAGTTCATTGACCCATGTCACAACATGAACTGGAGCTCTGTTGAACCAGTAATAGAGGCAGAGTTCGGATCCTGCTCTGAAATAAAAGTAGCACCTCACTGCAGAAATAGTTATTTGATATAAGACAGGCTGCAGTTCCCAAACACAAATGTGATTTACAATCTACTCAGAACTCCACACCAGCCACCCAGAGGAAACAGAATTCTACATTTAGCTAAAATGATACTAAGTATTATCAGCGAAATGAGTACNTGAAATAATGTTGTTGGGTGTGTGTGTGTGTGTGTGTGTGTGTGTGTGTGTGTGTGTGTGTGTGTGTGTGTGTGTGTGTGTGTGTGTGTGTGTGTCTGTTTGAAATATAGTGGGAAAAAGTATGAAATGGCCGACAATGAAAATACTGTGATGTACAAATACCTCAAGATTCTACCAAAGTACTGTACTAAACTTGTTATACTTGCTAAGAGGGGTCTTTACAGTGCCTCAAAGTGCGGACTAATAAGTTCCAACATTGACACAATGTTATTAAAGAAAAATAAGTCAACAGTAAAATGTAACCACACCCACTCCTATCAGCCCTCTTATCGAAGCCACGCCCCAAAACACATGAACCTGCACTGAAAGGTAACTGCCAGAAGCAGTCTTTCTTCTGTGACTCACTCACTTCTCATCTCTGCCTCTGCGGTGTGAGTCTGTCTGGCTAAAGACTCCGGTCATGCACAGTGACAGCACAGCCGGCAGGTAGATTGGTTAGTGGCAGACAGCTCCGCCGCCCAATCATTTCATTCAGCCTGATTGAAATGATTGGTTGTGTTTACTACAGTCCTGCGTGGGCCACCGACACATTTGCCCAACCTCTGCCCAACTAATAAAACCGCACATTAATGAATGGAAATAATTCAATGGTCAATGATGAAACATGGACATAATTGTTAGGCACGTTCATCTTAATATTCATACTCCTCGTAGCCTTTGCTGATGAGACAATGTTATTGAAATATAGCAAATAAAACTCTACTTAATTCTTTCAATACAAACTTACTAAGTTGACTCATGGCTATTGAACCTGATCAAAATGCCATGAAGGAAACAAATAACATGATTGGAATGTTCTAAATGAGTGGGTGCATACCTGTGACTTCTCACTTCATTGCACAGTTAATTGAGATAAGAGTGCCACAACACTTGACACTGAAGTATATTTCTGCTTGGCATTGTGTCTGCCATCTGAGTAGCCTCAACGGTGAGTGACCTGTGTGCACCATTATGATTTGGATTCAAAAGGAAGTGAACTAAACAATGTTACCGATGCATCTTTTATTCAGATAATTTTCCCTACCTTTTTTATTTTCCTCAGCCAAGGCCGATGTGTATTGAGTATAGACTGAATAGGAAACAACTTTAGAGCATAAGACTATGAATAATAGTTTAGGGTGTGTGTGGGATTTTTTGTTCAGAATATTACATGTGATGCTGCACTGAACCCAGGGTGAAGGAAAACATTTGCCTTTATGCCTTATTTCTTAGCTAAACTACATCGAAAAATATATGAGAACAATGGTGAATTTTTATCTTATGAAACACTGAAGGGAATTAGATGAAGAAAAGATCATATTTATATCTACTACTGGATGTTTTTCTTATAAAAATATACAATGTTTAATGAATATACCATAACGATCTTATATCCTCCTCTTTAAAGATCAGTAAAGTCCATGCAGGATTATTTCAACGTCCCTGATACATATCTACGTTAAAGGTGCATTACCACATTTTTGGACAGCATGAGAACAATCTGAGCACACAACATCTCACGTATTTTGGAGAAAAAAAACCCCACATGAGGTCATAGAGCTTTCGACCGATGAATGCCATAGCTCACAATAATCAGACATTTGACAGTTCCATGACAAGTGGGAGGACTCCAGATGTTTTACGGTCAAAAATGCTCAACAACTGAGTATAAGTGAACTTTAAATTCAAATTACAGGCCATCTATGAAGCTTATATTTCAAGCTTTGACTAGCATAAGATACGACTTAATGTTATCCACTTTTAAAAATACTGCGACTGCATGACCACGAAGTGTGTGAGGAGATATTCATTGTATGGCCACACCTTTCATAGCAGCTCAAAATGTATGATCTGGATCTGTGCAGGAAACAAACAGTGGATGTCCACTTTCAGCTTCCAAGAGTATTGACAATGGCTTTAGCAAATATTTCAGAATCACACACACTGTTGCTGCTGCTGCTGGACATTAAGTGCTATATATTTTTCCAGTCACCTCTATGCACACACGAGACATTAAATGATATACAAGTTCAAATCTATTGATTGGTGCAGGTTTGAACTAAAGCTCGGAAGCAGAAAAAAATCTGATTACAATTCCATGATGTTGTTTAAGATGCAATCACACCTCAATAGAAAAAGGATGCCCACAAACAATGTCCTGCCACTTAACTAATGAAGCATTGTGGTTGAGCGAGGGAGATATTCAGCATTAGTGCCATTGCTGTGGGCCATTCGCTGACACCTAATTAAGAAGTTGATGAACGCCGGCGTTGGGCAATATCCACGTTCCTCCAGCGCCTTGCACATCAGTCACTGAATAGCACTTAGCTGCCAGTTTTCATCCCCAGCCCTGTCTCCCTTCCTCTTTGCCTGTCTCCATAATGCTGTGACCACACTCAACCTATGAAAGGACGCCTTGAACTAAATGACATGTTAATTATAATTACTGGTAGCCATGGTAAATAAACAGCGGTGGAAGTGTTGAAAGTGTATGAGCGCGAGTCGACGGGGCCCTCTGACTCGTCAGAACTGGCAGTCTTAATTGTAAGTTTCGACCTCCCCATCATCATCACTACATTTTTTTTCTCCCCTCTTTTTTGTGTCTGTCTTTTTTCATCCTCCTCTCAGGAAAGACAGTGATTACCCCTGTGCCGACGTGCTGCATAATGGTATCAGCGCCGCCAACGGAGCAGTGAATTAAATTGTATCTGCAGCCGCTGTGAAGCCTTGATGAGGGGGGCAGATGCCTTTGTGGTGTTATCATTATAACACAATGGTCATGTTGTCATCAACCTTGCCATCGGCAATTGAAAAGGCATGATTGTGTGTTGGGAGCTTTTTCTCCTGTCCTCCCGCTTGTACCCCCCCCCGCAACCAGCCCTGTCGCCCCACCCCCAGCCGTTTCGTTGTGAATAGGAGCAATTTTCTAAGAGCTATGAAATCACGTAATAGGTCCTAATATGCAGCTGCTTGGCACAGTGAGGCAGCTTCTATTAACAAGGAAGTCAAACACAATATGTGTTTTGGCTGGAGAATCACATGAATACATGAGTACGGGCCAGATTTATTCAGATGAAAATCCACACAACTGTCACCATTACAAAGACAAACTATTTGCTCCATCTTTTGACATGTGGTGCCCTATGTCAAATTCTGTCTCAACTAAAGTGGTCATAGCAAAGCATTCAAGTTGTAAAGAAAATCATTTTGGAGAATTGAACGGTGGGCGAAAACATCAGAGATATATCTGCAGTGTTAGGAAACAGATTCATGATGAAAGAATAAAGCATTTCTTTAGAACACATGTTCTATTGACAGTGCATTTATTATTCTATCATTGAACATATTTCAATCTGATATGTATTTTTAAGGACGGAATGTATTTCCCATAATGACTTAGTGCCAGTGGATATGTTGACATCAAACACACAACATCTAATAAATATTTGAACGAAAAATTAAAAAGTACTGCTTAAGTCCCCTCATCAGATGTATTTATATCAGATGTTTAGGTTTTCTCATCACATTTGATCAGAAATATTTATTTACATAAAAATGCTCCACGGGTCAATTTAAATGAAAGCAGCAGTATACCAATGTTTTATATGTATTTCATCAGTGTTTCACATATATTGATATATTTCTTTTTCACAAATTGAAATTTGTAAAATATTATTCAATTATATGTCTCCATACATGTTTGACCCCCCTTTCTCTATCGATCTCAAAAACTCATAAGGTTTTGTCCTGAGGAGGCACAATTGGTGAAACAGAGGATGAGAATTATAAGAAAACACACATGGGAAAGCTGAATAGAGTGACTAGTATGATTAATTATCGATCAAATGTTTAATTTCTAACAGGGTTCAACTAGTGCTGCTGTGGCAGCAAGAGAGTGTCAGGGAGGGGTTGCTGCAGCTAATGAAGACAGGGAGGAGGACAGCAGCCACCATGCTGCTCTGGCAGAGCCAGCTGGGACAGAAGCAACAGGTATGACCGACAGCAAGCTCAGAGAAAGAGCTGCGTATATTCTACAGGTGTTCATTTAACACCAACTATTAAACTATACAAATATTTATCGTGGGGAATCTTACATAGAGATTCTAACCACTGTCAAACCAGCCAACAACAGAGACGTCAGATAAACCAGGTGAAGCAGACGATGATGACATGGAGCATTAGTTATCATGCACTGATATCTACAGGTAGATTATTGAATGCCATGCTCCTACATGTGGGGAATCGCATTCCACCTCTTTACCACCTCTGACCTAAACTCTCTCTGTGCCAGTCAAGTTTGAAGAAAAAAAATATACAGTTCTGTGGGTCGAGTAGATGCATTGTGGGAACTGGGAACCATAAGTATTTTTAAATCAACTTACACACTGTACATGAGTGTCTCTAACCCTGGCCTCACCCAGGTTTGTCCCACAGACTTTACCTCAGACACCACTCCTTATCACTTTCATCTCACTCTGTGGAAATGCTCTGGGCCATGACAGATGAACTTACCTTGCTGGATCTCATTGAGCTCTTTGATGGCCATGTCTCTCTCCTCCTCCAGCCTCTTGCACTTTAAAAAGACAGACACAGGAGCTTTAACACAGGATCACTGCAGTTTGAATCATCCTTCAACCTGTCTGCCTCTACACTGGACACGTATCTTACGATGCATTGAAAAACACATTCTATAGAGCGCTGAGGGGAAGATGAGGGAACTTGAGGCTGGCATAAAGAAATTGTTCATGAATCGTAATCCAGGTAAAAGTTCGAAATAAGCGTGATATCGATTTGCCACAGGGGGATGTGTTCGAGTTACATGGTCAAACCATTTAGCCACGTCCACGACTGACACATGTAACAAGATTCTTCCAGGACAAACATAAAAAATTCCTTCACATTAAAACAGGGTCCTGGCACCAGTCGGTGCTTAGACCCTAATACCCAGAATCCTATAGCCCTCTGTACAATTTCAAATGCATTTTTAAAAAATGAGAGTGTGTAGGGGAGAATATCTGACCCACATTTGGTGCAGTGCAGCTTTATTTGCCTGTAGAACAGTAAAAACATTTCGCTCAAACCCTTTGTTTGTGCCGTGAGCAGAGCTTTTAATAATGCCCTTCAACAGCCACCTCTCCATGTCATCTCGCTCTATTTACACATACAGTGCTACTGTTTCTCTGCTCTTATCTTTAATCACCATTAATCATCATTCGGTAAAAATGTCTCTTCATCCAGCTTTAATGAATTTTTCTCTCAGTATAAGGACGCGGCTCTCCCTGTCTCCCCTGCTGCTGTTGTATTTACTGTAAGCGATCGTACTGTAACTCACCTACAGGACATCCATGGTGTGGGAGACGCTCAGAACTGGACCAACTCTGCATACTGTCGAACATACAATGACTATGACTGTAAACCTGCGCGGTATGAACACTCACCTCCGTGGTTGCTGTGTCATGCTTCTTCTGCAGGCTTTCATACTCCTGTAGGGCTATGGGGAGCAAAGGATGCCAGTGAGCCATCTTCTTTAGGCAAATGTCAGTGAAGAGAGCAGTACTCATATGTTCCTGTTGTACAGTCAACGTGTGGAAACTTGTCCAGCACGTGAGAACTTCTCATCCAGTGACTACTGCGACTCGTGTCCAGTGACTGGCATGGGGATTTGAATATAGCAACAACTCTGGTGGACCTGAGTATCTGCCCTGTGCTGTTACTGCAATAGTAAGAGGAAGTAAGAGGGACTACCCTCCATAATATATTTGTACGAACACATAATGTGGCTGGTCACTGCCAAGATAAGACATGTTAAGTAGAGATAAATGGTAATACTACTTTTTGTATACTTTTTACAATATATTTAATGTATTTATTATGAAAAGTATATACAAATGAGTTAAGAAACTGGGACTGTACCTTACAGGCATGAGCAATACACCTCACACACATGCTACTACACATGCTACTGTGTACAAGTTTTCCCCACGGAACAACATGTTGACCAGTGGCCACATTTAGCCTGTTTACTCATTGTGCTGTCATGAGTTAAGGAAGTGACTAAAGATATTCTTCTTCTGCAGTGAAGTGAGGTTTTTATAAAGGAACAGTCTGACATCTTGGACTTTACAGTATGGTTCTAGGAGAGGAAGAAGAGAGTGAAGAGTAAAAATAACTGTAGGGAGACACTGAGTATCCTTGTTCTTTACTTGAACTAATGACAAACAGTGTACAAAACGTACCAGCTCCACCACAAGCAGATGAGACAATTTGTTGGTCCAGTGTTATTTAGATAGATAGATAGATAGATAGATAAATAGATGAATACAGATAGATAGATGGATAGATAGATAGATAGATACAGTTAGATAAATGGACAGATGGATAGATAGATGAATACAGATAGATAGATGGACAGATGGATAGATAGATAGTTAGATGGATAGACGGATAGACAGATGGATAGATGGATAAATGTATAGATGGATAGATGGATAAATATATAGATGGACAGATGGATAGGTAGACGGATAGACGGATAGATAGTCAGATAGAAAGATAGTTAGATGGATAGATAGACAGTTAGACGGATAGACAGATAGACAGATGGATAGATGGATAGTTAGACGGATAGATAGATAGATAGATAGTGGATGGATGGACAGACAGACAGAGAGACAGACAGATATAATTAGATGGATAAACGGAGAGATAGATAGATAGATAGAGAGATAGATAACCACAGTAAGCATAATAACCTGTTGTAAAAAGTGCTTTACATGTTATAAGGTGCAGCACCCCCCCAATGATCTGCGTGGTTGGTTTGGATAGATGGCACCTGAGCCGTCTCCCTGATGGTAAAAGCTTTGTCTTCAGTTATTGCTCACCCTGTCTTCACCAACAGGACCTCACAGATCATTGTCATACAGTCTTACTGGACCGATTCTGTGCAGTTCACTTCTATTATTCAGATCATAAAAACTACCAGGCAGTGGAGCAGGAGGTGTGATATCCAGCAGTTCTTGTCATACTGCTTCAAGCTGTATTAGTGGTCATAGGTCCGAAATATGATGTGGAATGAAATACATTTACTCAAACTCCTACTCCATATCATTTAAATGGAAATATGGTGGTATTCTATTATATATCAGTATTATAAATATTAAAAGTTGAACTCCTGAAGAAGTAAAGATTGAAATGAGTGAAGTCAGCAGTGTTAATAATTAACGAACATAAACACGAGTTGGTCTGAAAGGAAACTCTCGAAGAGTCGGTGTGTGAGACTCAGTGATTTCTGACCGGTTCGTGCTCGTGTGTGTTCGGACATGAGGGCAGCGTGTGTGTTCGGACATGAGGGCAGCGTGTGTGTTCGGACATGAGAGCAGCGTGTGTGTGGAGTGGACAGGAGCGTGTGACTCACCCTGGTTTGACAGCTGGTTGATCACGCGAATCTTGTCCAGCTCCTCTGCAGCCATGATGACGAACCGAGTGAGCTCAGCTGAACAGGAAGTGACAGGTGTGACACACCTGTCGTGTTCAGCACAGTAACACGTCCTGCCAGCCGGGGGAACACCGGCGCCATTTTAATAGTCCCCCCCCCCGCTTCATTTATGAATTATACTATTCATTCATTACAATAGTAATAACGTGGGGGGAAGTTACATGACATTATTAATAATATATACAGTAACATGTATATATGTGAATAGGTAATAAATGAAACGTGATTAAATGTATTGGTTGCTGTAGTAGATTCTCCACTGACACTCAAAAAGAGATGTCTGAGAGTAAGCAGTGTTTCAGAATAGAAAGGGGATACAAACACTTTCAGTCACAAAGCTCATCGACATTTGTTTAACACTTTATATAAATGATGAGCGAAGCCATCGTCATGCGAGGAGGCCGACACCGAGCCCACGAAGTGTCAGATCTTCCCATTTAAAACCAGACAAGGTCTCTCGTATAATTTAATTTATTCATGGACACACAAACTCACAAAACCAGTATACACAACAAAGAATTAGTTTCTGCAAACACAGGAATGTTTAACATACTTCTTTTGACTCTCCCATGACAAAAATCAAAACAATAAAACACAAATAATGTTATCATCCACTGCATCCTCTCAAGAGAAGATATAGAGGAAGCGAGAGTGCCCTGCAGAGGGGAGAGAGGGGTCAAGAAGTACCAGAGGAGCAACACACAGGGAACATCTGGACTCTGCTGGTTTGTACGTTCACTCAGGATGTTGTGGATGGTAACAGAAGATTTCAGAAATGGTAAACCTGAATTTCGACATAAAAGAAAAAAAAATACAGGATTTGTCTTTATTAAACAATATACAGGAGAGTGGACAAAATATGAGAAACAGCAGATTGTAAGGTTGCCCTCAGGTTAATACCAATATGGTGACATTGATGAAGCGGCGAGTTTGTATTGTTCTGAAAATAATCATTTAAAGTGTGCCGCTTTGTTTAGAAGATGACAATCAAGTGGAATTATCACCCTCTGACATTCTCAATAAGAAAACCAAACTTATGAGCGTCACCTTAATGGTACTAACTGCAGGGCTACTGCTGTATTTCAGGGTGTTTGTAATTTTGTCGACCTCCATATGTAGACACTTCTTTTTTCCATTAGAAGACTCTTGTTTTTAGCTGGGGATGGATATTTCATAGTATTTATTGACAAAAAGAGGGAGATCCAGCAGTAACACACCCCGATGAATAAATACTGATCTATAATTTTATAGAAATGCTCACGTTTTCGCAATCACAGGTAGATAGTACAACTACAGACACTTTTCATACACAACTTCTGGACAAAGATACACTACAGTACATCTATAGAAGGGGAAGATTATTGCCCTGGTCTCATTCAGGGCGGGGGAGAAGAGGGGGGTGATGCTGGGGTTATTCATAGGAGGGAGACAAGAAGAATTGGAGGTAATAAGAACTATGGAGAAATAGAAGATGACGATTGGGATGGGCAAAGACAATGTCGGCCTCGGAGCCCCTGGAAGTGCAGAGAGGAGTAAAGGAAAAGGAGGATGGTGGGTAGAAGGGGTGAGTGGAGGTACAGCCAGAGCAATCCTTTGTGCGCTTCAGTGGCGAACGGCAGACTCCCTCGGGTAGAACTCAGCCAGGGTGCTCTGAGGAATCCTCTTCAGCATCTCCTTGGGGAAGATTCGCAGCAACTGCCAGCCAATGTCCAGGGTCTCGTACACTGTCCTGTTGTCGTATGGGCCTGAAGGAGACATAACGGTGAAGGTTAGTATCCAAACATACAATTAAATAATGCTGCCACGCATAAAGTTTTAGGCAGAAACCGCTATTCAAAGCCAACTGTCAAGGAAAGAAATATCAGGTATTCAAGCTGCAGTCAATTACTTTTTGATCACTTGAATCCATAAAATGTACAGATCAGGTAGAAAGGCTAGTTCAACATTCATCCAATCTAATTAAAAACACCCCACTTAACATCCAGCACTGACTAATATTAATATTTGGTGGATAATGTAACTGATATTTTAGAGTTTTTATTAACCTACCTGCATGTGCTGCCATGTGATGATGCAGCTTTTCCACAACATAACCCAGAGCAGCCAATTTCTAATACCGCTCATAAACCCCCACCTGAACGTTAACATGATCCTGAACATAGATTTCCCCTTTCAGATAGCGCTGCTTTCTGTTTCTCTGAGCTCTGATCAAACCTCCCTCGGCCAGAAAGCAGTAACCTACACCAAACAATATTTTCCAGAAACAAACAAAAACCTGGAAATACACTGTTAACTGTTGTTAGTTAAAATATAAATATAGTGACGGCATACACATTTTCAGCTTTGCTGGGCAGCACAAAGAAAATCTGATTTTCTCCAAGCTCAACTCTGTTCTGAGTATTTAAATGACAGCTTCGCGACTTGACAACTACGTGAAAGCAGTGAACGAACAAATCTGTTGTCTGTCTATGGGCCCATCTTACACTTGGTGCAAGTATCTTTGCTAGTTTAAGACCAAAGCAGTCGTCATTTTTCAAATCAAGTTCCAACCTTATTTTGAATAGCAAATTAACTTTCGTTCATCGAAGCATTCATGTGGTTAAAATTAGCAGTGGTGCTTTTAACCCCCCCAAAAAACCTGGTCACCTGCACATTATCAAGATGGTAATGTTTTAATAGATGTAGACAACACACACACACACTCCTGCTACCAACCCGCCTAAATAAAAGAGCAGACCTAATAAATATTACTTTCTGTGGTGAAGCCCCAGCTTGAGCTGCATGAGCAAGAGAGATGACAGAGAGCACAAGCTCACATCTGCCTGCACGAAGCAGGTGAACTGTGATGTCAAAATAAGTGAGCGCACATCAATAAGTATTGCATGTAGGTGTCAAATTACAAAACCTGCAACTACCTATTATTTTCATAATTAATTAGTCTATTGCCTTTTTTTGGATTGATCATTTAGTCTATCAAATGTTTTAAAAGTTGTAAAAAAATTTCATTACAAGTTCCCAAAGCCCAAGGTTATGTCTCCATTCAACTGCAGGCTTTGTGCAAAACCCAAAGAGTTTCAGTTTACAATAGAATAATAGAGAAAAAGCAGCAAACTCACAATTGAGAAGCAAGAAAACACTTTTTCTTGATAAATGACATCAATAAACAATTGGTAATAATATCATAATAGCTGGTGATCAATAATCTGTCGATTGATTGATTGGAGTGAATCATGGCGGCCCTTGTGAGGAGGGAGATTAAACAATATCTGTGGTTGCCAGGTACTGCTTCCACCTACACTATTATGAACGTTGAAAACATACTACGTCTGTATTTGCAAAGCTGTTTCTTAAGCATCGTCTCACCTTGAGCGATGAAGTTCTTCTCAAACTTCTGTAGGAACTCCAGGTAGAGCAGATCATCAGAGGTGAGGGCCTCCTCACCCACCACAGCCTTCATGGCCTGCACGTCCTTACCAATGGCATAGCAGGCGTACTGGAGACAAGAGGAGACATCATTAATACTAAACAATACCAGGTCAAAACCCACCGATATATACTGTGTGTACA